GACACACGTGCACTGACCTGGGTGAACTGCGCAGCTACCTTGGCTTGCAGATCACCCGGGACAGAGCACGCCGCACCATTACCCTGACTCAGTCACACATGGTGCAGCAGGTCCTTCAGCGCTTCGGCTTCACGTACTCCTCGCCTCAGGCCACTCCTCTGTCTACTCGCCACTCGCTCTCAGCTCTGCCTTCGGATGAGTCCGTAGAGTCGAGTGGCCCGTACCCAGAGCTTGTTGGCTGTCTCATGTACCTGATGACCTGCACACGACCTGACCTTGCATACCCTCTTAGCATTCTTGCACGCTATGTTGCTCCTAGGAGACACCGACCAGAGCACATGGCTGCATCGAAGAGGGTGTTGCGCTACTTGTGCAGTACGTCGGGCATGGGGCTAGTGCTTGGAGGGCGCAGTCCAGTGGTCCTCACTGGACACGCAGACGCTTCTTGGGCTGACGACCAGGCTACGCAGCGGTCGTCACAGGGTTACACCTTCAGCCTTGGTTCCGGCTCTGTTTCGTGGTGGGCTACTTGCTCGTCTTCTGTTCTTGGCTCCAGTTGTGAGGCTGAGATCTACGCAGGGGCCATGGCTGCTCAGGAGCTTCGCTGGCTCACCTACCTGCTGACCGACCTTGGAGAGCCGCCTCGTTCTCCTCCAGTCCTGTACGTCGACAACAAGGCCATGGTGGCCTTGTGTCGGGAGCAGAGACTGGAGCACAGAACAAAGCACATTGCTCTCCGCTACTTCCTTGCTCGTGAGCTACAGCAGCGTGGTCAGTTGCGGCTTGCGTACGTGGCCTCTGAGGCCAACACTGCTGATGTCTTCACCAAGGCACTTCCGCCTTGTGATCATCAGCGCTGCTGTACGCAGCTGGGTCTTGTGTCTGTCTTGCCTCACTTGCTCTCCTCTTGACTCTCTTTGTACTGTTACATATATATATCACTGCTCTTGCTTGTTTAGTCTTATATATATATATATATCTATATCTGTACTCCCGCATGTGAACTGGCCTTGTGGCCTTGCACTTGTGCTCGGATTGTGTGGTGACGTTGTGATCCACCCTGAGCTTGCTTTGTTTTGCTTTACTTGACTGGTCTTGTGACCCCTAGTTCTCCCCCACTTCGCCTATGGGGGTGTGTCAAACATTATATATGTTGTTGTAGTTGTTTAGGCTACAGTGGGTTAGCCTATAGGGGGTACACATTCCTAGGTTTTGATACTTGTACTCATTTCACTCTTAGTTCATCCATTCTTGTTCAACAGGTACGCCATGCGTCGCTTAGTCGGGCGAAGCAGCGGGACTGTGTGTGACTAGGCGTCCCACAAGGCTGACCAGTCCGAGCACCAATGCGAATCACGTAAGAGCAGCGAACAGAACTGAGAGACCCTCCACTCTGAGCGTACCACTCACGAAGCTGCTGGGGTGTGAGAGACGCGCGTGGGGGTCGCTGGAGCTACATCTGGCCGCCGCCAGTAGTAGTAGCAGTAGTAAGGCAGGCACCCAAGCAAGCGGCAGGCAGCGCGCTAGTAAGGCAGGGGCTCACCAGTGGTGGGAAGAGCAGGCTCGACGACTCGGCGACTCGGCGACTCGGCGGTGCGGGCGGCTCGGGCGGCTCGGCGACACGGCGGCACTGCAGCAACTGCGGCTCGGCGGCTCGGGCGACTCGGGCGACTCAGCGGTACGGCGGCACGGCAGCAACTGCAGCGCGGCGGCTCGGCGACTCGGCGGCTCGGGCGGCTGAGGTGGCGCTGCGGCTCGGGCGGCTCGGGTGGCTCGGGCGGCTCGGCACTAGCTCGGCGGCGCCGGCGGCTCGGTGGTGACGGCGGGGCCGCTTGGGGACGGCGGCGGGGCCGGGTGGAGCGGCGACGGGGCCAGCAGAGGTGGCGCCGGGGCCGCAGGGTAGGCGTCCGGGCCAGCAGAGGCGGCGCCGGGGCCAGCAGAGGTGGCGCCGGGGCCGGGAAGGGCAGCGCCGGGGCCGCAGGGGTAGGCGACGGGGCCAGTAGAGGCGGGGCCGGGTCCTGGAAGGGCGGAGCCGGGGCCGCAGGGGCAGGCGACGGGGCCAGCAGAGGCGGGGCCGGGTCGGGAAGGGCGGCGTCGGGGTCGCCGGGGTAGGCGACGGGGCCAGCCGAGGTGGCGCCGGGGCCGGGAAGGGCGGAGCCGGGGCCGCAAAGGGCGGCGCTGAGGCCGCAGAGGTAGGTGACGAGGCCACTAGGGCGGCAGATCGGGGCCGCGAGGGCGGCGCGACGCGGCCGCTAGGGCGGCGTGACGGGGTAGCGGGGCCGCGCGCCTCGGGGCGGGCGCCAGAAAGAAAATCGCCGCGAAGGTCGCACGTCACGGGGCGTGCGACAGATCGAGTAGCAGCGGAAGCAGTAGTAGGGCCCTAGGAACAGTTCCCACGAGGGAACCTGCTCGATACCATGAGAAAACTGAAACGAGAATGAATGAACTATGAATGAAGTGGGTACAAGTACTAACCCTAATTGGGTTGTACCCCCTATGGGATACCCCACTACAGCCTACACAAAAGCATAAGCTATAATGTTCTGACATCAACAGTGAAGGGGTGGGAGAGATAGCTGCATTTTTCATCCCTGCCCAGGAGCCCTCGGCGCACTACGACAAATGGCTCGGCGAGTCTGGACAAAACCGCTGGAGGTGCTGACATCATCTGACCCTAGATCGTCTCGACATCAATTTCGGAGTGACATTCGATTTCGGTTACTGCTTCAACGAATTTCGCCGACGCTCGTATTTGACTTTACGACGAATCGCCTTCACCGACGACATTTTCGTACCAACCCCGACTTCACGGCCAAAGGATTTCGGGATACAGCCGCTCCAACTGTACTAGCGACAAATCCATCCACTCGACCCGCCCACGACAACTGCATTGATTTCAAACACGTCAGGTGCTGCCAGCTGCAACTGCTGAAGATATTGCATGATTCTCGCGAGTTAAGACAACACAGCTTCAGTTTGAGTACTCGACAATTTCGTTTTCGGTTTTTGGTCTACATCTACGGGTTAGCTCTTGGAGATTTTTGGGGCACGTACTACCCGGTTCCGCCATCGACTTTCCACACCGACGAGTCTTCACCTGGCTTTCTACGCTCGACATTCGCTTCAGTGGGACTGAACACCTGGATTTTTGTTGGTTTTCATCTCGGCGCAGCTGTGAAACATTTTCTGGTGTGCTTTCTTGGAGGGGGGGAGAAAGTGCTTTGCACTATTTCTTTGCTTGGCGTTTTCTCGGCTCAATTTCTGACTTTGTCATAATGCAGCAGCACGACGGACGACTGCGATCGCTGCTTCACGATCAACGGTTTCTGCAACATCGCGATTGAATTTCGCGTCAGCAGGTTCCCTCCAATCTCGCGTCAGTCTTCGACCGTCAGATCCACATCTGCTTCATCAACGGCCCACATTCCAACTTCAACTTCATTTTGGGCTAGTTCCTCGTCGACCGTCAGATCGAAATCGGACTACATCGACGGTCTACCTTCCAACATTTTCAAAAATATAATCGAAGGCTTTTCGGCCGTCGGATTCAGCTGAAGGGGAGATCTTCGGCATCCTTGCTAGTGTGGGGCCTTTTTCAGTACAGGGCTGCCTTATTTCGAAGGTGGGAGAGTGTAAGGATTTACAAATCCTTACTGAGGCACTCGTTAGCGAGGACATCCCGAGGGTCACGCGACGAACCTGTCCTTCCTATTTCGTCGCACCGAACCACTCCCGAGTCGGCCTCCGCTCCAATCGCAACCATCACCGAGCCATCCTCGCCCAACCTCTCCGCCTAGCTAGGACTTCCCCTATTTAGTCGTACCTTTCTCATTGTATCGTCATTCAGTAATTCAGTAATTCAGTAATCAGTCATTCTCGTTATTCGTTTTACTGCGCACTCTGCAAGTTCATTCATAACACTCGCTTACATGCGGGTAACAGAATGATCGCGTCCTTACCACCAATCGACGATGACCTGGTGAGATCCGACAAACAGACGCACTCTGGAAAGCTGAATACTGTACCTTCAAGGATGCCGACTCTAGTACAGTATAAGCATATAACGTACCTGTTGTGCAGCAGCTTGCGGATAGAGCAAGCGCGAGGACAACGGTCCGGGCGTGACAGCTGACTAGGCGAGGAATTAGGTCGTTAGGTTAGGAGATTGCCAGCGCTGGAACCCCTACGTTTGTATGTACTCAGTTTGTACAGTGCGGAAATGGCTGAAAAACACTGTAGAACGGTACTGTACATACGGCTATCATTGAGAGCTTGCTTTGAACGACCATGTAACACGTAGCGAAGAAGATGCACCTACGTGGCGGAACATCGAGAGACTCCTATCTTCACGGATACACCCCGCGGCGGCACGTTGAGACTGGGTGGGAACAACACCCTGACTGCGTGGCTTCCGAGTGGCGTGACACTGGCATATTAAAGCGTTTCAGAAGTGTTCCCTTACAATGCGGCGGGTGAGATCGTTTGCGTTTCGGAGTGGACAGTTTAGAATTAGGAACGTTTGGGGAGGATTTCAAGCAGGACACGAAACGTTTTAAGCACGCCTGTACCTCGACTCGACAATCAACTGCCCTGATTACACAGCGACGCGCAATCTTGGACCATCCACGCCGCCGCGCTCACGTGCAGACAGACAGACGTCTACAGGACAGTACAACTTCCTCTTCCCCAACTTGGGGAAGCAACCTCCACTTCCCCCAGATATCGCCCGAATCGGCCAGGTACGATAGGGATATAGACGTGTTTCCAACCTTCTCTAAACCTGCCCGGCAGGCAGCTACTCTATTGACGTAATGCTCACTCACCCAATTGAGCAGAGCAGAAGCATCGACGCGGCGGCCCGACGGTTGGCACAGCGGTTGCAGCCGCCAACGGAACACCAACATCCAAGTTCAAGTTCAAGTTGAGGTCTACTACTACTTGTAGTAGTAAAAATACTAATCTTATTTCTCGTAGTACGACCCGGAGAGTCTTAGCCAATCATGACGTTCCTGGCGGCCTCACTTCCGCGACGACTCGCCGCAGCATCATCATCATTCCGCCGCGGCTACTACTACTACTACCGCGGAATTGGAGGAGCCCCCCCCCGCGGAATCATCCGTTTCGCGCTCTGTGCTACCGTCGTGCTCCTTCTGTTCTCGCTGGCGCTCCGCGCCCGCCTCCCCCCCCGCCGCTTCCACGATCCCCTCAACGCCGCCGCCGCGGCGACGACTTCGCCTTCGCTATCATCCCGCCGACCCGCGGCGGATGCCGCCGCCGCTCTTTCCGCCGCGTTCTTGCGCGGCCTCCGCGCGCTGGCGACGTGGGAAGAGGAGGCGGCGGCGGCGGCGGCTGCGACGCTGCGCGGCGTTGATGGCGTCGGGGCGGAGTCGCAATGGCAGCCGCGCCGGCGGCAGGCCGCACATGAGCAGGAGCGGCGGGCGCCAACGCAGCAACAGGGTGCCGCCGCCGCCGCAGGGAAGTCGCCGCGGATATTAACCCGCGTGGCCGCGTTTAACGCGGGTCCTGCCGCGGAGGCATTTCACCAGGCGATGTGGGTGGATTTTTATGGCAGATTGACAGCGCCCCTGTTCCAAATCGTGCCGGTTTCTGCGCCGGGAGAACCGGCAGGAAACCTGACGTGGGACAGCTTTTACCAAGATGTTAATCCGTACGATCGTTACGGCTCCAGCCTCACTTGCCCTGCTGTCCCGCGTGCGGCGTGGGAGGAGGAAAACGGGAACCGTGATGACGTGGCATACGTGGCTGACGTGGCGGATGAGGTGGATGCGGTGGTTGCGGTGGTGCCATGCCGCCCAGCGAACGGCTCGTTGGCGAGGGACGTGCGATGGCAGCAGCTGATGCTGTCGCTCGCACGATTCGTCAGTAAGGTGTGTGCTGATATCGTGCTCAGCTCATCATGATATCGTGCTCAGCTCATCATGATATCGTGCTCAGCTCATCATGATATCGTGCTCAGCTCATCATGATATCGTGCTCAGCTCATCATGATATCGTGCTCAGCTCATCATGATATCGTGCTCAGCTCATCATGATATCGTGCTCAGCTCATCATGATATCGTGCTCAGCTCATCATGATATCGTGCTCAGCTCATCATGATATCGTGCTCAGCTCATCATGATATCGTGCTCAGCTCATCATGATATCGTGCTCAGCTCATCATGATATCGTGCTCAGCTCATCATGATATCGTGCTCAGCTCTTCATGATATCGTGCTCAGCTCATCATGATATCGTGCTCAGCTCATCATGATATCGTGCTCAGCTCATCATGATATCGTGCTCGGCTCATCATGATATCGTGCTCAGCTCATCATGATATCGTGCTCAGCTCATCATGATATCGTGCTCAGCTCATCATGATATCGTGCTCAGCTCATCTTGATATCGTGCTCAGCTCATCATGATATCGTGCTCAGCTCATCATGATATCGTGCTCAGCTCATCATGATATCGTGCTCAGCTCATCATGATATCGTGCTCAGCTCATCATGATATCGTGCTCAGCTCATTATGATATCGTGCTCAGCTCATCATGATATCGTGCTCAGCTCATCATGATATCGTGCTCAGCTCATCATGATATCGTGCTCAGCTCATCATGATATCGTGCTCAGCTCATCATGATATCGTGCTCAGCTCATCATGATATCGTGCTCAGCTCATCATGATATCGTGCTCAGCTCATCATGATATCGTGCTCAGCTCATCATGATATCGTGCTCAGCTCATCATGATATCGTGCTCAGCTCATCATGATATCGTGCTCAGCTCTTCATGATATCGTGCTCAGCTCATCATGATATCGTGCTCAGCTCATCATGATATCGTGCTCAGCTCATCATGATATCGTGCTCAGCTCATCATGATATCGTGCTCAGCTCATCATGATATCGTGCTCAGCTCATCATGATATCGTGCTCAGCTCATCATGATATCGTGCTCAGCTCATCTTGATATCGTGCTCAGCTCATCATGATATCGTGCTCAGCTCATCATGATATCGTGCTCAGCTCATCATGATATCGTGCTCAGCTCATCATGATATCGTGCTCAGCTCATCATGATATTGTGCTCAGCTCATCATGATATCGTGCTCAGCTCATCATGATATCGTGCTCAGCTCATCATGATATCGTGCTCAGCTCATCATGATATCGTGCTCAGCTCATCATGATATCGTGCTCAGCTCATCATGATATCGTGCTCAGCTCATCATGATATCGTGCTCAGCTCATCATGATATCGTGCTCAGCTCATCATGATATCGTGCTCAGCTCATCATGATATCGTGCTCAGCTCATCATGATATCGTGCTCAGCTCATCATGATATCGTGCTCAGCTCATCATGATATCGCTCCAACGGCCTTAGTCTCCCCCTTAGTCTCCCCCTTTGTCTCCCCCTTAGTCTCCCCCTTAGTCTCCCCTTAGTCTCCCCCTTAGTCTCCCCCTTAGTCTCCCCCTTAGTCTCCCCCTTAGTCTCCCCCTTAGTCTCCCCCTTAGTCTCCCCCTTAGTCTCCCCCTTAGTCTCCCCCTTAGTCTCCCCCTTAGTCTCCCCCTTAGTCTCCCCCTTAGTCTCCCCCTTAGTCTCCCCCTTAGTCTCCCCCTTAGTCTCCCCCTTTCTAGTACTCCCTTCGCAATGTGCTTCTCTGTGTGTCCTCACCCTCACACTGCCTCGCTCTCTTCCCCCGCTTTCCCCCACCCCTTTTCCCCCTTCCCCGCCCCTTCCCCCCCCCCTTTCCCTCCCCTTTCCCCCTTCCCTCCGCCAGTCCCCCCACCCCTGGATTCCCCTCGTGATCGTCTCCCCCTGCCGCCCGCCACTCAACCTCTTCCATTGCCGCTTCTTGAGTCGCCTCATAAGTTTCCCCCACCTTGCTGCACCTTCCCCACCTTTTCCCCCCATCCTCCCCAACCTTTCCCCCAGTCCCCCCGCCCCTGGATTCCCCTCGTGATTGTCTCCCCCTGCCGCCCGCCGCTGAACCTCTTCCACTGCCGCTTCCTCGTGGATGCACAGCCCTACACGCTGCATGCTCCTGCTGCTGCTCCTGCTGTGGCGCCTGCTGCGCCTGCTGCTAAGGCTGCTGCTGCTGCGCACGTCGCTGCCAACGGTGGCAGTGGCGGGACAACGGCAATGGAGGGCGACGTGTGGCTATACAACGTGACGGCGCGCGACGTGCGCGCGCGCATTCAGCCAGGGGGGTCGTGCGCTCTAGCAAAACCCAGTGCGGATGCCTCAGGTGCGTAATTTCAGGTGTCTCAAAAAGGTCTTGCGCCCCGGCGCAAGCTTTTGATTCGACTCAAAAGTCACCTCAGGTGCGTAATGGCGTGTGCAAAGCGCCCAAAAACTCGACGTCGAGCAACGTCGGTGAATTTCCACCCTCGGATCAAAGGTTCCAACCGTCAGGATTCACCGACGTTCCTCGACGTCGAGTTTGTGCAGCACTTTGTACACGCCTTAATTTCAGGTATCTCAAAAAGGTCGTGCGCCCCGGCGCAACCCAACGCGGGCGCCTCAGGTGCAGTGCTCCTGCAACGACCCTCCCCTCTCACCCCTCTCACACCCCTCTCACCCCTCTCACACCCCTCTCACACCGCTCTCACCCCTCTCACACCCCTCTCACCCCTCTCACACCCCTCTCACACCCCTCTCACACCGCTCTCACCCCAAGCCTTTCTTTCTCTCCCTTCCCACTCACTCTTCCCATTCCGCCCCTTCCCCTCGCCCCTCCCCTGCTCCCCCCTTCCCCCGCCCTCCCTGCCTCCCCTGCAGCGCGTCCCCCCTCCGCCCCACCACCCCGCTTCGCCTTTGCCACGGTGCTACACAGCAAGGAGGAGTACGTGTGTGGCGCAGTCGTCCTCGCTCACGCCCTCGTCCCTTTCTCAACCCTCCAAATGCCTTCCCCCTTTCCTGCCCTTATTCCCTCTGCGCTTCCCCTCCGCTCTTCCCCTGCAGCGCGTTCCCCCTCCGCCCCACCACCCCGCTTCGCCTTTGCCACGGTGCTACACAGCAAGGAGGAGTACGTGTGTGGCGCAGTCGTCCTCGCCCACGCCCTCCGCTCCAACGGCCGCACGCTCCCCCGCGCTCTCTTCTCAAGCCCCACTCACAGCACCACCACCGACAGCAGCAAAAACAGCAGCAGCAGCGACAGCAGCAGCAGCAGCAGCAGCAGCGGCGGCGGCGGCAGCAGCAGCGGTGGCGGCGGCGGCAGCGGCAGCGAGGGGGGAGGCGGAGGGGGTGGAGAGGAGGGGGGCGGGGGGAGCGGGGGGGAGGGGGGCGGCAGGGGGGAGCATCATGCAGCAGCAGAGGCGGAGCTGGTGGCGCTGGTATCAGCAGAGGTGGGGGCGGAGAGCAGGAGAGGGCTTGAGGCAGCAGGATGGCGGGTGGTGGAGATAGAGCGGATCAAGAGCCCTTGGTCGCGCCCAGGGAGCTACAACGAGTGGAACTTCAGGTGAGAGGAGAAGAGGAGCAGGAAGTGGGGGAGATAGAGCGGGTGGGGGAGATAGAGCGGGTGGGGGAGATAGAGCGGGTGGGGGAGATAGAGCGGGTGGGGGAGATAGAGCGGGTGGGGGATATAGAGCGGGTGGGGGATATAGAGCGGGTGGGGGATATAGAGCGGGTGGGGGATATAGAGCGGGTGGGGGATATAGAGCGGGTGGGGGATATAGAGCGGGTGGGGGATATAGAGCGGGTGGGGGATATAGAGCGGGTGGGGGATATAGAGCGGGTGGGGGATATAGAGCGCGTGGGGGAGATAGAGCGGGTGGGGGATATAGAGCGGGTGGGGGAGATAGAGCAGATCAAGACGCCCGCTCTCCCACACCTCGCTCCCTCCCGTTTCTCGATCCCCTGCCCCCTCTCCCCTCTCTCCGAGCAAGCTGCGCCTGTGGCAGTTGATGGAATATGAGCGCATCGTCTATCTAGACATGGGCGTGCTTCCCCTGGGCCCGCTCACACACCTCCACCTCTTCCGCTCCCCGGTCTTCCCCTTTTCCCCTACTTCCCTTCACATTGCTGCGTCTGTGGCAGTTGACAGAGTACGAGCGCATAGTCTATCTAGACATGAGCGTGCTGCCCCTGCGCCCGCTCACACACCTCTTCCTCTTCCCCGAGCTCTCTGCTGCCCCCAACGACCACAAACCTGCTGCTCACTTCAACTCATGCCTCCTGGTTCTCCCTCTAGCCGGCAAACCCCCCCTTCTCACGCTTCCCTTCTCCCACCCCCCCCACCCGTGCTCCCCCCTTCCATCCCCGCTGTGAAATCAGCAAGCTGCGCCTGTGGCAGTTGACAGAGTACGAGCGAATCGTCTATCTAGACACGGACGTGCTGCCCCTGCGCCCGCTCACACACCTCTTCCTCTTCCCCGAGCTCTCTGCTGCCCCCAACGACGACAACCACTTCAACTCCGGGCTGCTGGTTCTCGAGCCAGCACACTGCACGTTCGCCTTCCTCCTGGCCAACATCCCCAACATCTTCTCTTACAATCGTGGAGACCAGGTGTGTGTGCAGCTGCTGTGGTGAGGTGAGGGCTTGGCGTGTGATGTGATGGGTGGGTGCAGTACGATTCGGTGTGGTTGGGTTTGTGTATCATACACGCCCGCTGCAACTCCGGGCTGCTGGTTCTCGAGCCAGCACACTGCACGTTCGCCTTCCTCCTGGCCAACATCCCCAACATCTTCACTTACAATCGTGGAGACCAGGTTTTTTGTTTGTTTTTGCAGCGCCTCAAAAGCCGCCTACAGCTATGAGGACCAGGTATGTGCAGTTGCTGTGGTGGGTGCTGGGTGTGTGATGGGCGGCTGTACGGTATGGCTGGGTTGTGTGCGGTGGACGTGGCACGCTTGGGTTGGGTTTATCAGCACGCGGCCACTTGAAGGATGTTTAACGTGCTCCTCGCCAGCATCCCCAACGTTTATGAACAAGTGTTTTGAGACGTCTCAAAACACTTGCTCATACATGCGGTGGACGTGGCATGCTTGGGTTGGGTTTATCAGCACGCGGCCACTTGAAGCATGGTTAACGTCCTCCTCGCCAGCATTGTACGTTTTTTAAGAATTCTCAAAAGACATACGCTTCCTCCTCGCCAGCATTGTATGTTTTTTTTTTATTCTAAAAAAACATACACTTCCTCCTCGCCAGCATTGTATGCTTTTTAAGAATTCTCAAAAAACATACACTTCCTCCTCGCCAGCATCCCCAACGTCGTCCCTTACAACTATGTCGACCAGTTATACTGTCGACTCAAGAGACAAGACACCTCGGTGTGTGCTGGCTGCTTTGATTGTCCTTCGAAGTGACTCCCATCCCTCTCCATTCCTCTCCATCCCTCTCCATCACTTTCCATCCCTCCCCATCCCTCCCTATCGCTCTCTATCCCTCTCCATCCCTCCCCCCTCCCAGGGTTACACCAGCAACGACTTTCCTCCGGGGCCACCACCTCTCAGGGCGCACCAAAAGTTCCAAGCCAATCTCTATCTCTCCTTCCCTTCCGTTCCGTCCCCCCATCCAACTCAACCCTGCTCCATCCCTCTCCACCCCAAACCACACCAACTCTTTCAAGCACAGACCACCTTTTCGTCATCCCATCCCTGACCATTCAACTCACTCCCTCTCCACCCCTTTTCCACCCCTCTCCACCCCTCTCCATCCCACTCTCCCTTCTCAGGGTTACATCAACAACGTCTTCCCCTGGTGGCACCGCCTCCCAGACCACACTACCGTTCTCAAACACAAGCCACCGCACACCACCTGTGGCACAGGCAAAAGACCTTACGCTGCCTATAACGAGGCAGTGGCTACGCAGAATGCCTTGTTCTCCTCTGATCCTCCCCAGCTGCACGCCATTCACTTTCTCGGCCGAAAACCCTGGGTATGCTTCCGCGATTTCGATTGTAACCTGTCGGCGTCGCTTCACGACCTTAAGTTTGTTAACGAAGCCGCTTTTAAGCGGTGGTGGGCGGTGCACGACGGTTTGGAGGAGCGGCTGAAGCCCTGGTGTTGGTTGAGTGAGGAGCAGAAGGGGGTGATTTGGCGGGGGATGAGGAAGAGGAAGCAAGATGGGGTTGGACCAGAGAGGTGGAATTTCACTGTGAAAGACCCGAGGAAAGACTTGATGCGGCCGTGGGGGGTGGGAGGAGGTGTGAGAAAGGTTCGCGGCAGGAGAAGTTAGTCCGAGTGGCTTGGAATCTTGACTCCAGTAGCAGCAACAGTCTGACTGACACCTTGATCTCCCAATGTGTAGTTGCTCTCTTGAATGAAATTCAGTCACTGTTTTGTGGAATCAAATTACTGTTCCAGCACAAAACAATTAGTTGCAATCTGAACAAATAGTTGCAACCAAAACAATCAACTGCAACCAAAACAATTAGTTGCAACCAAAACAATTAGTTGCAACCAAAACAATTAGTTGCAACCAAATTTCTGTCTCATCAGCACAGCACATCTACTCCGCAATGTGGTAGCACGCATGCATGTGTCAAGAATAGAACTAGGAATGATGATTGAACTATGCAAGAGGTGAGTACAAGTAGGGGAAACCTAACCTTAATGTGTTGTACTCACTAAGGAGTTGTCAGAATGAGGAATGGATGTTGCATTGATGTTGGTTGGGGTACATATGACAAACCCTAACTTCTGTACCCCCTAAGACAAACCTCACTACAGGCTACAACATTTGACACACCCCCATAGCCTAAGTGAGGGGTGTCTAGCAAAAAACAAAAAAGAGTACGGTCACAAGACCAGTCCAAAAGAAAACAAAGCTCAGGGTGGATCACAACGTCACCACACACTCTGAGCACAAGCAACAGTGGCCACAAGGCCAGTCCAAGAGATCACAAGTATATATAGTAAGTGTACAGACGAAGCAGGCAATAAACTCAAGTCTACGCATGACTAGAACCTGTGTCAACAAGGCCTAACTGCACACAACACCTCTGGTGGTTACAAGGCGGAAGCGCCTTGGTGAAGATGTCTGCAGTGTTGGCCTCGGACTCCACAAACTCGAAGCGAGCCTGTCCACGCCTCTGCAACTCTCGCAGAAGAAAGTACCTGACGTGAATGTGCTTCACTCTGCTCTCCAGTCGCGGCTCACGACAGAGGAGGATCGACGCCTTGTTGTCAGTGAACAAGGTCGGTGCAGAGCTCGGCCGCTCACCAAGGTCGGCGAGCAAGAAGGTCAACCACCGCAACTCCTGTGCCGCCATGGCACCAGCGTAAATCTCAGCCTCAGCTGTAGAGGTCGAGACAGAAGAGGAGCGCGTGGAACGCCAGGAAACAGCTCCAGAACCCAGACTGAAACAGTACCCCTGAGTAGACCTGTGAGTCTCAGCGTCGTCAGCGTAAGAGGAGTCACAGTGACCAGTGAGTACGACAGACTGCTGCCCTCCAAGAACTAGCCCCACGCCTGATGTAGTCGCTAGGTACTTCGCCACCCTCACAGCTGCCGTCCAGTGAACAGGACGGTGTCTCCCTGGCGCAACAAAGCGCGCAAGGATGCTGAGAGGGAAGGCGAGGTCCGGGCGAGTACAAGTCATCAGGTACATGAGGCAACCCACAAGCTCTGCGTAGGGACCACTAGGCTCAAACGGCTCGTCAGGAAAGGGACCAGTGAGTCTGTGGTCAACAGCGAGAGGTGTGCGCTGTACGGTGGAGTGCTGAAGCCCGAACCGCTGAAGGACCTGCTGCACCATGTGTGACTGTGAGAGTGTAATGGTGCGAGCGGCTCTGTCCCTGGTGATCTGCAGGCCAAGGTAGTGGCGCAGCTCACCAAGATCAGTGCACGTGTGTCTCTTCTGCAGTTCGGACTTCACGTCTGCCAAAGCAACCCTGTCCGAAGTGGCGAAAACGGGGTCGTCGACGTAGACCAAAACAAAGAACGGTGTGGAGCCACGACGAACGAACAGCGACGGGTCGGCAGAAGACGGCTGGAACCCAAGGTCAGAGAGGGTAGAACGCAGAGTGTCGTGCCACTCACGAGGGGCCTGGCGAAGACCGTAAACAGGTCGCCTCAGCCTCCACTGGGTCCCAGGAGGGAAGGTGCCAGTGAAGGCCGAGGGACGACGCAACCAGACCTCCTCGTGTAGGCTGCCCTGAAGGAAAGCAGTGGAGAAGTCGAGAGAGTGTAACTCGTAGTCTCTCTGTGCTGCTACGTGTAGTAACACCCGAAGAGTGGTCATCTTCGGGGTAGGTGCGAAGGTCTGAAAGAAGTCAACTCCCTCGCGCTGACTGAAACCTCTAGCCACGTAGCGCGCCTTGAAGACCGGGGGAGATCCCGGTGGCCGCTTCACCCTGTAGATCCACATGCCGTCGACTACGTTCGCCCCAGGGGGGGGAACCTCATCGACGTAGGTGCCTGTGGATCTGTAGGAGGCCATCTCTGCGTCCATGGCAGCTCTCCACTGAGAGGCCCAAGGCCCTGACACTGCCTCAGCGTAAGTGCGAGGAGTCGGAATGTCAAGGGCGTCGGGGTCACCCTCAGGGGCGAGGAGCATGGCACAGAGATGAGGGGAAGCGGCCGCCAGGAACTCTAGCTCAAACTGCCTGTCCTCTAGGGCGTCACAGCCAAGGGCAGACACACCCCCGACGGCCAGAGGACTGGTAGGAGGAGCAGCCACAAGCGTGGTGGCGTAGTCAAGGCGGCGGGTAGAGGCAAAGTCAGTAACTGCGGCAGTAAGAGCGGACACAGAGGACACAGAGGCACGAGGGTGAGTAGCAAGAGAGGCGAGAACACGAGAGAGAACAGGACGGTACGTGCGGTAGTAGTCAGTGACAGGAGTAGGGAGCGACACAGTGAGGGCCGACTCAGGAGGAGACGGAAGCACAGACTGAGACGGACGAGGTGGAATAGAAAGAAGGAAGGCAGTACGAAGGTCAGTGAAGGGAACAGGAGACGAGGGACGAGCACGAGGGGAGCGACGAGTAGCCCAAGAACGAGACGGAGGAGGAGAGGACAAAGGCGGAGAACTGGGGAAAACAGCGGGGGAGGAGTCAGGAGGAGGAAACGTGGGACCGTAGACATGAGGAGAGGCGGAGGAGGGAGGAGAAGGGGAGGGGAGACCAAGGATCCGAAGACCCGAGACAGGAGGAGGAAGTGGCTGCTGCTGCTGCGGCGGCGACTGCTGCTGCTGCGGACGCGGCTGCTGCTGGGACTGCTGCTCCTGCGGGTCCAGCTGCTGCTGCTGCTGCTGCTGCTGCTGCGGCTCCAGCTGCTGCTGCTGCTCCTCCAGCCGCTGTAACTCCCTCTCCTCTCTCTCCAACGCCAGCTGCTCGTCACGGGCACGGCGAACACGAGCCTGGTGCCTAGTCGGGTAGGGGTGGGGGGGTGGAGTAGTGTCCGAAGCAGCGGCAGCTCCAGAGTCCACCTCAGAAGAACTAGGCGCACCACCCCCAGAGGCAGCACTAACACCAGCTCCAGAACGAGGCTCACCTGAACCCGAAGGAGGCGCACCCTCACCCCCAGACGCAGCACCCCCAGTGTCCGCGCGGCCAGCACCAGCTCCCGGACGACAAGAGTCCTCTGCACCCACCGGGTCAGCTCCAACTCCAGAACCAGAAACTCCAGCTCCAACCCCAGCTCCAACTCCAGCACCCCCAGAACCAGAAACTCCAGTGCCAACTCCAGCTCCAACTCCAGCTCCAACTCCAGCACCCCCAGAACCAGAAACCGGTACAGGAACAGGCGCCGCACCAACCTCTCGAGAGCTAGCACCAGCGGCACGCTGCGAGGAGGACTGTGGGGAGGGAGGCTGTACCGGAGGGGCTACCGAAGGAGGAGGGGTAGCCTGGGACACACCTGACGGGGCTGGACCAGGGGGGGGAGGCTGTACCGGGGGAGCAGGAGGGGGAACGGCAGTCAGGAAGAGGGGGGGAGGAGGAACCGGGAGACCTCGACTGGGGTACCTGACGTAGTACGGAGTGGACTCCTCGAAACGGACGTCACGGGAGTCAAAGAACCGGTGAGAGGGAGGGTGGTAAAAGGTGAAGTCAGAGGAGTCCTCAGGGAAACCAAGGAAGACACAGGGGACGGCACGAGGCGAGAGCTTGTCCGCGGAGGTGTCGCGGACAAGAGCCAAGCACCCCCAGACACGAAACCGCGACGCAACACCAGGGGACCCTGTCCAAAGACTGGTCGGTGAAACCTCTGGTCGAGAGACACGTGGCCAGAGGTTCAGCTGGTGCGCGGCGTACCTGACCGCGTAGGGCCACAGAAAATGGGGGGCACAGGCGTGAGTCAGGGAGGTGCGGGCGATCTCCATGACCAGGCCTATGCGGCGCTCAGCAACCCCATTCTGCTGTGGGGACTCTGGAAGCGTCCAGGACTGACGAATGCCCTGCTCGCGACAGAATCCAGCGAGAATGCCGGAGCGAAACTCACCCCCACGGTCGGAGTGGAGACAGTTGACACGACGACCACGAGTGTCCTCAGTGGTGAGCAACCACCTGATCAGCGTAGAAGTCACCTCAGACTTCTTCGCCAGAGGGAACACTGTGGTGTAGCGGGAGAAGTCGTCAACTACCACCAGAAAGTAACGCTCACGCTCAGGGCCTAGACGAGGGGCTGGGCCCCAGACGTCCAAGTGAAGCGTCTCAAAAGGCTCGGTGGCCGGACGAAGGGAGGAGGAGTGAGGGGTGGCGCGCAGCCTACCCTCGACGCAGGGACGACACGGCGGCGCAGGCGAGGGCGGCAGCGACGGCAAGACACGTGGGAGGCCTAGGACAAGACGCTGACTAGACATAGCGCGCAGACGTGGAAGGGACGGGTGCCCCATCCGGTGGTGCCACAGAACGGTGGGGTGGGCAAGCGACCGGCAGGAGCACGACGCAGCGACTGGAACAGACGTAGGAACCTGACACGACACAGACACCTGGGGGGACGTAGCAACCTGGTGAGACGCGGGGACCCGAACGGGGGGGGGAACCGGGGGCAGTGGCAGTAGGGGGGGCTGCTGGTGCGGCCGCTGGTGCTGCTGCTGCTGCTGCTGCTGCTGCTGCTGCTGCTGCTGCTGCTGCGGCTGCTGCTGCGGCGCACGCGGGCCAGTGTGAAGAGTGTAGAGACCCGAGCCCGGCTCAGCAGTAAAGGTAGCAAGAGGCTGGTAAGAGTCTCCGTCAACACACACCGCAGTCTCTCCAGAAGGCTCAAACCACACACCCACGTGCTGACTCACGAGG